GTGCTTCAACAAGAGTTCAGCTAGACACCTTATTAATAAGATAAGCTAACTACCTAATTCACAGGCAAAAGTAAGACAAAAAGAAGTGCAGGTATTATAAATACTTTTCCTACTGTTTTTTCCTTAAGATCTTTTGAATCAGAGAAGCTTCCAGAGGTGTGCAGAAAGATGGTCCAACTACCTGGCAGCTGCTAAAAGAAAAATGACAGCAGGATTCAAACAGTTCCACAGTTTTTGGAACATGGTGAGGACAACTTCCAGTCACAGAGGTATAACAAGCTAACAGAAGAGAGATGATTTTATATTCAAAATTACAAAAATTGCAAGTTGCCCTATAAAAGTAGCATCTAAGACCATCAAGGTGGAATGTTGTTTGAATAAAAGCCTTCAGGAGAGAAGAGTTACAAATTTCATTAATAGAAGCAATTAGTGCAGAGAAACAAGGATGATGGGGAATAAAAGTAAACATGAAAATCAAGGGAATAGGTAACATCAGGTTCCGTGGGAATATATTCTACAAGGAAAACGAGTACAGGAAAGCTGAATGTTACTAAGAAGTGTATATACAACTGTAAGTACAACTTTACAGATGCAGTTTCTTAATTTAATGACAAATTTAAGAACAATTAAGAAACATTGTTAATAACCATAAGTACATTCAAATAGTAAAAGCATACTATCCTGGTGCAGTCAGGAGCAATACAATTACACCAAAAACTTCCTGAACCAGCAATCAGAAGCTTCACCCATATAAATGGTGACAACAAAGATACAGTGATAATAACACATCATTGAAGGTGATACAAAGAAACAGCATAAGCATTTTGAAATAAAATCATAAAGTCACATGCATGACATAAAAATAGTAAGAAACAGTAACAAAAAAGGTTACACAAATAAACCACAGGTAAGACAACAGGATTTTTAAAAGATAAAAGGAGCTCTTTCCTCAATAAGAATGGAGGAAGAACAACCTAAATTATGTTTAGATACATTACACATGTAAAGCCTGCCAACTGCTAGCAAAAGTGTTCAAGATCTTGCAGAGAACTGGAGAGCAGCCAGAGGACTGTGAAGAAGAGCAAACCTACCTGGTCTTTCTAGGAAAAGGGTGTAAGTATATATAAATGGCAATATCCACAGTGATTGAATTACTAAATAAACAATACATATAAAATCTCAGAAGATAAAATGATTAAACCAGCATAGATTACTTAAGGCAAGTCATGCCAAATATAAAATACTTTGATGGAATAACTGGACTGATCCCTCAGAGAAAAGCATATGCTACACTTTAATATCAGTACAACTTCTGACGCTAAACCAATGAAACATTGCTTTCAAGAAAAGAGAAATGTGGTCTAGTTTAAATCGACACAGGAGACTGTTTCGGAAACTGTGGTCAGGATTCTGCAGTAATCTGCACCAGTCCAGTTCTGGCTATGTCTCCATTTTTTATTTCAACAGCTCTGATGAATTTTTGCCAAGTTGTTGCTGGTATTTTATTCAATACTTAGCACATTAAAAAACAAAACAAAACACTCATAATTAAGTTAAAGTTATGAAAATGGTACCGTCATTTTGAATTATAGAATATAAAACATTTATTTTAGAATCTTTTCCGGTTCGTTGCTTTTGTGTTTATCTCCCCTTGCACAGTACCCCACCTTAACCTGCATACCCAAATTTATGTTCCCTTCTGAAGAACATTAGAATCACTGTCATACCACTAAGTATTTAGTTTATGGTTTCTCTATGTTTTATTTCCTTCTGTTTCAGTCTTAATACTATTTTGTTTGTTTTCAGGCTAACATACACTAACCTGAGGTGAGCATCTGCGAAGAACTAAGTAAAAATTGAGACTTTAGGTTATGACCTATTATTTACTTTCCTCAGCCCCCCACTGTGTACTCCTTAACTAAATAAAAGTTAATTTCTCTGTAAATATTTAATAATCTTTTCTTCCATCAAAAGTAAATTCAACCAGTACTTGTTGATTGCATGTCTGCAATGTTGAATTCACTTCTTCAGTGTAAATTTGATATGAGAAAGATTGATTTTTTCCTTGCATTTTCCTACATTGAACATGCAAAGAAGGGAGATCCAAGTTATCTGAGCAATATATGAAGGCAATGGCATAACAAAGAAAAGTGAAATTTTCAAAACTAACGGTTCAGAAACGGTTCAGTGATTGTCCTCAAATTATTGCATTTTCTGAAAACAATGGAAGCAAGAGAGGCAAGTCACATCCTTGAAAGGTAAGCTGTAAAGATTTTTTAAAAAGCACCAGACAGTAATCAAGCCAAATACCTATCAACCACTTAATATTTCTGTCTTTCCAGAGGTCTAGACTATCTGACATATTTTCTAACCCTTAAATAGAATATACCAGACTGATGCTACACAGTCAGCTTTTGCCCTTTCCTGCAGAGAGGGCTAAGGTTTCAGATCTGCTGAGGAAAGGAAAGCTTCCCTGGTGAATCAGTAATGTCTTTAACATGGGGATACAGAAAAGTAACAAAGGTGGTCTCCACAGCCTGGACTAGAGCCTGTTTAAAATTTTGATGAGGAAACAGGAACAACATTTCATCATCGGGTTTCTTCAGCACCAACTAAGAGAAAATCATTACAGGACGGACAACTCTCTCCTGAGAAGGTTTGCATATAACTTAGTGTTCAGTGTTTCCCTGCAGCTGCCCCAATGCCAACCTTGTTCCTTTCCTCAGAGCAAAGGACTGAGGCAAAAAATACCTAAACTACAGAAAAAAAGTAAAAATCCTTCTGTGTCTCCGAAACATGACTAAAAATTTATCTCAGTAAATACCAGGCCAACAAGCTACAAGTAAATAAACATCTCTTTGCTGCTATTTTTTTGCTATTTTACCTTTCATTAAAAAAAATAATCCCACCTAAATGCAGTTGAATATCGTAAAGCTCTTCATATTTAAACACTTCAGAACAATTATTTTGAAGGAAGCCCTTGACAGTTAAATGACTCTGTTAAATGAATGTTTTAGAAGATACATAATGATTTTTAGTGAAATACTGAATTTAACCACAAATGAGAAAAAACAGGCATAAGCAACCTGGTTATATTTGAATAATGATGTCTTGCTTGAGAGTTCAATGGATTTTGTATGGTCTAACAGTGAAGCTAACAGACAGACAGACCAAGCTGAGATTTGTCACATTTTTTGCCTTCACTTTGCTGTTTGGTTTTCACCTTTCTTAAGTATTTTTCTTTTTCAAAACAGAAGAACGATGTTTTGTTGTTTGGTTTTGGTTTGTTTTTTTTTTTCCTAATTCTTGCAGCTACTGATGCCACCCCTACTATATTTTATTGCAACCATGTGAGGGTAAATACTGTATTTCTTAGCTTAAGTATTCCTGCTTGTTTTATTGATGGTGCTCAGGAACTGAATTTAAAAAAAAAAAAAAAAATCACACACAAAACCAAAAAACACAAAAAAAATCCAGTGTGTTCCCAGGGAGCCTGACACCAGAGTTTTGAATGACACAAAACTCCTGTTGAAGTTAAAGGGAAGCTTTTGTGAGTGACATGAGTAGGACTGGGCCTACATAATACAGATTTATTTATCCTAGAACATTTTCCACTTAACTCTGATATCTTTAAATGATTTCTTATGACCATATTATAAAAGTTTTAAGTAACATTAGAGTTTGCTTTCTAAAATTATTTTTAGTGTTATTGCTATTGTTATGCTTCAGCCCAAGAACAAGGCACAGTTCTTCTGAAACTGAACCACCACTCATTAGAGGTTTTTATTTGCTGGAAGAAAAATAAATGAATGGAAAGCTATCCACTAGGAATGTATTTCCCTGTAGATTTACAAAGGGAAAAGAAAAATCTCAGTGCTGAAGAAATGAGACTGAGAAACAGGGATCATACATACTCACTTTCTCTAGTGAAATGAGATGGAATGACTGTTTCACAGTGGAAAGGCCAGCTACACATATGAAGGCAGTGTTTATTGGGATTTACAGTCTGTCTAGAGGTTTCAACTCTCTAGCCTAACACTAAAGACAGAAAAAAAAATAATGCTGAAGCAGTCAAAACTTGTTAGGAGTGGAAGATTCAGGTACAAACCAAATTGATGAAATATGATCTTTATTGGAAGATTAAACAAGTGTGACAGCTGAAGCAATATCAACTGCACAGTGGGATCTGGGGATCAGTTTGCTTAAGCCACTGTTTTTTAACCTCCTGATGTTGTTACTTCCTTAGTCCCAGATGTTATCCTGCATCTCCTGTGGGTACCCAGAGCAGCCCCAATGCAGGACTCCATGGATTAGAGCGCAGAAGTCGGGGAGGGTGCTCCCCATTGCTTCAAGGAGCTGGCATGAAGGTGTGTGACCCCATTCACACTCCCCTGCTCACTGCCTGCTCTAATGGCACCCCCACATAGCCCACATTGACAGGAACAGCTTGTCCAAGAAAAAGGGGGGGAAAAAAAGGAAGAAAAAAGGAGCCACTTGGCTTGATGCTTTAAATACTGATGGACTACTGACATCAGCAGTCATACCAAATACAAACTACACAGACCTCACTTTCCTTGGGTAATAATATCAGAGACAAGAGTATTTCTTCTAAGCGCATAAGAAAAACCAGGAATTTCACCGCAAAGGATTAATTATTTTTCCTCATATCTGAGGACTGCTTCCATCCTACCCTTCTTACCCCCTCCTCCTCCTCCTCCCTCTACCTCAGAGTGCTGGAATAAATGTAACAGTGTATTTTGCTTTAAAAATCAGCCATGGTTCAGTGAACAGGCTGACATACTATTTCATATGAGAAATTAAGCTGCAATTTAATGTCATTTTCACTAGTTAGATTCTAACTAATGTATCTGGACATAGTTAGGCCTGCATTCACTGTAAGACATCTGCATTATATACTCTTTGGCCCCCTATATTTCCACAGAGTACAGGTGAAAATTAGCTGAGTTTCTTGCAACAGTGCCAAATCTCTATATACTCACAGATGTAGAAATATTCCCGGCCTGGTCTGAACTCAAATCCTAGTGAGAAGGGTGTGAAGAGCTGGAACTTTTCTGAGAACTTCAACGGCCCATTCGGAGAATGTGGCCGATTACACTCCCACCTCTTGAAGCCTTTGGAGGTGTGATCGCAGGAGCTGTAGCCATCAAAGTTCACCATGTACAGAACATAGCGTTCGGTCTTATCTTCCGGCACTGAGTCTTCGTAGTGAGGGCAGAATACATCCAGATAGTCATTGATGCAGACATCTATATGGTAGTCGCCCCTCTGGAATCTGAAATGATAGGAAGAGTTCAGGTGTAAGCACTGTTAACTCAGGCTGACCTTGTTGCAAGTAACTTTCTCATAAAAGGGGCATCACTAATGGCACTTCATTTCATTTCAGCCATGCACATTCACTCTTTAAAATAACCCTTACAATTCACCAGAGCTATCACAGTTTATGCAGAACTATGATCATATGACCTTCTGAATAAATGTTTTGCTCTCTTAGAAAATGAGTGTGTTGTTAATGCACAGCAAATTATAGGCTGTCTTTCCCTATGGATATTGAATAAACAAAGTGTCTGTTTTATTTGACGGTAGGGTGTCTTTTTTAACTGGAGAAAGAAGCAAGAAGAAGCAAAGAAGCCAAAACTGTATCAGGTTCCCCAAATCAGTGTCTATATAAACATCTGCATAGGCATGGAAATAAATAACCCAGACATATCCCCTTCTCTGAATCAGGCAGTAAACACCACTGTGCTGAAAGCTGATTTGACTGCAAGTACTTACAGTTACTACAAGAGCACAAACAGGTTTACTCTTTCTTCACGATAAGCAGCAGTTTGTCAGGGTGCAAAGAAAAGCCTGTATTGGTTTTTAAAGATATCTGAAAAGCAGTGCATCTCCTTTGCCAAAAGTACACAGTGGAGAAGTTGCTCTGTTCAGATGAAAGGATTCTGGGATATGAATTACCAGCACTCAGCCTAATGTGACAGTTCTGAATGAGTGCCAGCTGAGAAATGCAGTGTAAGGTACCAGCCTAAATATACTTCATTACTACTATTATTATTACTGAGGACTCCTTAGAGATGTGGGATTCTTGTTTTGTTGGGGGTGGGGAGGGTGTCCTTTTTTCTCCCTTCCACATTTCTTTTACACTACTTTTCTAATGCCTACCATAGTATCTGGAAGAAACTATGATAGCATATTCACTGCCTCCATGTGAGCTTATACCATGATGGATTTTATGATTCCATAAACCAGGTCTGTACATCTGTCATACTCCCTGGGGCAGGCAAAGAAACCAACCACTGACCTACTCCACTTCAGGTGACTGGGCTACTTGTAGCTTCTCTCTTTCACGGCTACAATTGTCAAGTGTACCACAAAGCAATAAAAAGGCCATGACAGATTTAACTATAATATCTCTTTCTAGCTGAGGGGGATATTTTAAACACCCAATGGGCTTGAAATCTGCCATCTGGATCCTTCTATCTAATTTCAGAGAGAAAGCAGTGATCTGCTGGCCCTCCAAGGATAAATTCAGAGCAAACTACACTTTTTCATATCTCTATAATAATTTAACTTCAATAAAATAGATTTCTAAAGGGGAAAAAACTGAACATGCATCAAAGCATGATACAGCTGTATAATTTCAGTCAGTGAACAGACTTATGGTTCCAGACTGTAACACACAAAAGCCTCTCTGAACCACAGTTTTTCCAGAAGAATTTACATTTATCTAAATCATTAGTTAAAAATATATTTTTGCACTCCAGTGCTTTCAGAATCTGTCACCTGAACAGATACTGTCTTAACACATTTCCAAAAATATACTGTTTTCAAATTGGTGTCTGTTCTCTGTATCAATTAGCAATATGACTTTTCTTACAGGTAATGAAAAGAGTATCTTCTAAGTTATGAACAGGAAACACATTCTGGCGATTTTTTTTTTAAATTCCAGTTTTAGTAAATAAAAATGAATACATATTTATGTGTGTGTGCGCGCATGTGTGTTTGTGAGTGTGTGCTTTTTTTTAAAACATGCAGGTGACAGACAATGCAGTTTTCTCAAGGGATTCTCAGGGTTACATCTTGTAGCAGAAGTCTATGTCTTCATAATAATGCCCAATTTGTAGAGATGACAGAAATAGCACATCTCCTGTTGACTGCATTTAAGATTTAGTAAGTTTTTTCCTTTTCCAGTCCTGTTCAGAATAGAAAGGTTGCTTTCATAAACTCTCTAGCAATGCTACTGATAAACTTTTCCTTTTCTCAGTTCAGTCTTCATCTTTTTCTGGCAGATCCTTATCTGGACTCCAGTGCCCTTCTGGAATCCCATGATAATCAGGATTTTTATATAAATCCCACTACGAGAAAGAAACCAGTCCTATATAGATTTTCCATAACAGAACACTGTGTTGTAGTAGAAAATAGCTTAAAAGGCTTCCACAAAACTCTGACAGGATCTACATCCTTCTTGAAAATGTCATTTGTCTCTGTGCGCTCTGACTTACACACAGCAAAACACAGCTATTCTTCAAACATAACTAACCTTTTTTTTTGTGTCAGGTGGCATTCAAAAACTGTCTTGTAAACAACGGGTACTATTAGAAAGCAAGCTATTAGGCAGTAGGGCTACAAAAGCCATTTTGAAGATAGAGGCAGATAGTTAAGTAGCTTCTAAACCCAAACATTTCTATATGCAACGAACATCAGCTTGCCACACAAAACTTGCATACTGCTTCCAGCAAAGACAGTCATACGAATGCTTCTGTACTCAGGTGCTTCTGATTAAATGTCCAGGTATTCAGGATGCAGAGAAAAAACTTCTTGGCAATTTTAACCACAGAAACACAAGACTAGCAAGACATTTTCAAAGTAATTAATGCCTTTTGTATTCTATTTATCCACTAACACAAATGAAAGTACATGGTCTGTGTGCATGGTTCTCTCATAATTTGAAGTTCTGAAGCATGTGGCTTGTCTTGAATTTAATAACTTTGCTGGTCACTGAAACAAGTGACAATTTATTTAAACAGATATTTAGAATATAACATCAGTTTGGGGTGGGGTTTTTTTGTTTCTTCCTTTCTTGGAATAAAAACTACAAAAATCCAGTTTAAGTGCAGCACAAATAATGCTAATTGCCCATTAATATTTAGAAAGATACACAATTGCAATAGCTTCTGCTTGTTGCTTCCTATCCAAATCTTAGTCATATTACATCACCTTTCCTGTAAAATCGATATACTAGATACTCTACTTCAAAACAAGTGTAGTGGAAAATTTTCCTTTTACTATGTCAACCTTTCTTTATTTGGAGTCTGTTCTGTCAAATGCATGCAGCAAGGCTTCACTGTGAACCAGAAAAGACTTCAAATAAGTGCTCTAACAATGAATTCTGGTCTTCAGTCTGGCATGAGAAGGGATCGGACGCAAATGGCCCTGATTCTACTGCCTGGAGCCTGCACAGCCTGTAAAACCATTGTGAAGAGGACACTGCCACTGCTGAATGCCTTACACCAGTAGCCTTTTTCTCAAATGATAATATTAAATGCAAAGCAACATCAGCAAAATCCACTGAACTGATTCATTCTTGGGGTAAATACAAAACATAATTCCCACAGTTCCTCAGAAGCAGCACATCAAAAAGTTACTTCTTCTGTTTCCTAAGGAAAAAAGACTTCTGTGAGCAGCCCATGTGCATACTGCTGTAACTGCTGGTCACTCAGCTCCTCCTTTTTACTTTAATGGCCACTAAGCCAGTTCTAACAAAATTTAATTAATATAGAGAGGTCTCAGAGAGAAGTCCATTCCTACAAGTACCATGAAAAAAACAGCCAGGTGAGAAGATCCCATAGGTATCACAACAAAGGCTGAACCATCAACAGATTAAATATTATTAGACAACAGAAACATCTCTCACAAATACTTTACACACAGGAGAAGCATTCACTGGAAAAATACAGAAATCGGTTGAAAAGGAAGTTTATTTCTGTTAGCTAGTTATGAAACTATTAAATTATTGAAAAAGAGAGATAAGTATAAAGTAATAATACACAAAAGCTAAACACTTTCTGGTAAACATTAACATGCTTTAAAAAGACAACATTTTAATTGCTCTTAGGATGTGATGACATTAGTTATTTATCATTTCATACTACTGAGCTTGCTCACAGCTTTTGCCTCTGTTTAGACAGCAAATGTAGTGCATTAGACCATCCCAAATTCTACTCACATGCTGTGACTGGAACACAACAGGGTACCTCGTACGTTCTTATTCTTTTAGACAGCCCAAGCCCCCTCATTTCAACTGACTTAAAGCTGTTATGTGTGATAGGGAATATCTTGTGGTGGTTAATTATCTGAGGAGTTGTGGGATTAAGTGTACCATTTTACTCCAGATAATTTTAAAGATGTTATTTCTGTGCTATGCAAAAATAACCTCTTTAGTGCTTTTCTGCTCTTTTTAAGGGCTTTGTCACAACATTTAATACTCTGTTCCCATAGCTCTGCTAACATCAACAATGATTGTGATGCACAAACAATAAAGTAATCAAAGAGCTATTTTAATTTTAGCTCTATTCAAACCAAAAGAAAACAGAACATTTTCCAGATGCTAAGAGAAGTAGGTTTACTAAGAGTAGCATGCCAGTAACATTTTAGATCTCCAGCAGGACACCGCTACCCTCAGCAAGCAAATAAAAAAAACACCCTGTAATAGAAAGGAGCTGTCTTTGACCTTTCAGTTCTTAGGTTACAGTTTCACAAGTTAAGACAAGTTCAAAACACCATGAGAAAACACTGTGTAGGAAATAAGCTACTGACTGACAAAACAAAAGAGAAACAACTAATCAAGGCTGTTGTTCAGAAAAACAGTATTCAAAAATTATGCCTAGAAAAGACTGCAAGTTAAGTACCCAATGCAGAAAGAAACTTATTCTCTTGTCATTAAGTCCTCTATTCAATTACCATTTATTGGAGTAATTAAACACTGGGAAAGGATGCCAGCCTAATTGTTAGATTATGATAATTACACAGCTTTGCTGTGCTACAGCTGATCAAAATAAGATGTGGTCACACACATTCAGCTAAAGCTTCTTTGCAATCATTGGGTTTCCATGGGAAACATTACTATAATAAGGCCACTTATTACTAGTTCATTATCAATTGGGCAGACAAACTTACTATTTGTAACCTTCATTTTACTCTTCCAGCCGCTGTACTGAAACAAGCCTCCCAAAAGGTTGTGCCCAGATCTCTGACTTCAGCTGGCTCTCTTTCATCACAATTACATAGCTGAGCAGAATCAGGCTCCT